ATAATTATAATATTGTAATAATTAAAATAGTGATAATAATAATTTTAATAATGATGAAAATAATTATTATTATTACAAAGAATAATAAAGTAATGATAATTATAATTATATGATTTTCCTCTTGAGTAGTTTCTCCTTTTTAAAATGTGTCCTCTTTTTTCCTCTTCTAACATTTTTTATTATCTTTAAATATTGTAGGCCTATAATTTTAAATTTTTCTGTACTTTTTGATGGAACTTTGATGTTGATTCTTTCTTTCCTTGACCAATTTTAATGTGATTTTCTTGGAATTGTACTTTTTTGCAAGCTTTGTAATCTCTTCGTATATTTTACTTGGAGACAATAAATTTTATCTTGTATCTTGAATACATTATATATACAGTATATATACAGTGTATATATATATATATATATATATATATTTATATATATATATATATATATGGATAATTACTGTATTTCGATTCAAGGAAGGTCAAGTATATTGTGCTCTTTATAGAAGGCCTGCACAACATCGTACACCAGATTCATCTCTTTGACACAATCACCAACAACTTCTTCTGAGGTTTTCTCAGAGCTTGATGTACATAGCCGCGCCTGGAGGGTTTTCTTATTTGGTAGAGTCCGCATTGCTACATAAGCCGTGTTGCGTATTAACCATGTGTGATAATTTGCTATTGTATCTGCATAGACCTTAGATGCCATCTTGGGAACACTATCACCTTCGTTGCTTTCTATGAGTTTCTTAAGGAATGAGCTAATGAAGAGGAGAGCTCTGTGAAGTCGGAGCAGTGTTCTTGAACCTGATAAAAGCCCAGCTGAATTCTTGATGGTCGTTAAGTTATTATCTAATTCAAACCTCACCATAGTTTGGACGGACTTGAAGTGCTCTGGAGTTGCCTTTCGGTGCTCATTTAAAATCCTAATCTTTTCTTTTAGATCAGATGTGATGAATGAAAATACCATCCCAAGGTGTTCAAAGACCCTGAAAGGAAAAATATACTAAAATATGATATACTAAAATAACATACTTAGTATTATTATATTCTTATGTATATAACTGGTGTGAAATCTCTTCACTGATGATAGTAGTTCACTTTACCAAAACATGTTTGGTCTGGGGTCATAAAGGCCATTGTATTGAAGTTTAAAGCTGTTGTGTTTTTATAAAAACTAAATATGATGGATTTTAACTGACATGATTCAGTAAGTGGCACCTTCAAAATGAGTCAAATAATTACCTTGGCCCACTTACTAACCTACTAGGCCGAAACCAGTCAATACGAGCAGATATCACTTCAAGTGGATATCATTTCAAGTGAAAAAGGATCAAGTTTTGCAAACATAATGTGTGAATTTCCTATTTTAAATGAACATTTAATTTGATAGTTTTTCACTCTCTTTGGATTCAAATTTGCTATAACTTAGCAGTTTTCTTCTGAAAGCTTGTTATTTGCTATAATAGCCTTATTCCCCACCCCCCCCCCTCAATTTCAAGACTCATTTGTGCAATGTCATTACTGTTGATAGTCTAGTCACCACCCTCACTATACCAATTTACAAATATACATTTACAAATACAGTTACAATTACAATACAGTTGAAATTCAATTCAGTTACTTAAAGTACAATCATATTTTTTACTGGGAGCCTGCCCCTTCCCCTTAGATCTGAGAGTGATTTCCAGCCATCTAGAAGTGCCATATAAATTTTCTTACCTCAGCCCAAACCATGGAATGGTGGGCTGAGGTGGTGTAGACTCTCCATAGTCCCTCCCTGGGCCCCTCAATTTCAGATTCCTGGATACGCCACTGATTAATACTGTAATGGCCTTTTTTACTACAAACAAACCCCAGATTAAACAACGAAAAACGTGAATTCAGAATGAAATGTGCGCAATTTATTTAGGCCTAATATTATTTATACAAAAAGCAGGCATCTGGTGGATTAAAAGTACCAAAAACTTGTAAAATTATTAATTACGACTAGGCCTAGGCTAGGCCTACACAGTGCATTTTGACATTAAAAATTCGTTTTTGATAAATTCGCCCTTGCCTTGCATTAAACGAATTTGGCCTAACATTCACTCGAGGTAGGATCCGGTAACTAACCTTAGCCTAGCTAGCTAAACTCCTACGCGTACTACTTACTAGTAGGCCTAGTACTCACTAACTAAGGCCTAGGCCTAGCCGCCTAGGTAGCCAGCAGGGGACCTCTCACCTTGTTAATTCTTCGTAGCCCTTTATATATGGTTCTAGGAGTATTTCATTCTCGATGGTTTTCGTTTTTCGAAATTCAGCTGCTACAACTTCTAAACTAAATCCATCTGATGCCATGTTCAGCAGCTCCGTCTCCAGGTCAGGGGATTCCCCTCAGGCTCAGGTGAGTCGCAACGCAGAGGAGTGTAGAAACAAAAGGTAGATACTTCTTCAGCACCGCCCCTACGCAAAATCCAAAGGTCATTCCATTCTATGGGCAGCCAATAGGGCCAAAAATGTCGCTCCTGTGCATTTTATTTGATTTTTAGTACCGTAGGTTAGGAACCCGAGAGAGGACAACAATGCCAATTCCCAATGATACAGTAAGTTCAGGAATAATGAGGAGGTTTCCTGCTTTTTCCAGAAGAGGCTTTTTTCAGGAATGATCAGTATCATTATCTGCTCCAGATCGGACGAGGTCGAAGATAATTTTGGTGGACTGTAAAAGCTTTAAAGCCATAATTTGCAAGTTATATATTATATAATATAATTTAAGACATTGTTTAAATTATCTCTATTTTAAGGAGCTTTTTGCAGTTTTAACACAATTAAAACATTGGTCCTAAGGGCCTTCAGATTTCTGTACTTTGCATTGCGAAACATCTTAACACATCTCTTCAGCGTCCATAGGAATGTGTCCGATTTAAGAATTTCTGATGGCAATTGAAGGCAAAACCTCTCCAAACTTCCGTTCACAGAAGTTTAGCATCCGTGAACCAGAAACCCCCAGCCTCTCAGAGGCCCGCTTGAATTATTTATAGTTTATTTATCTAACCTAGTTTTAGCAAATTCGTTTCAGGATGTTTGTAGAAAAGCATCTGTAAATCAACGAAAACTATTTGTTCGATCTTTTTCTGGATCTAAGTTAACAACTTACTCGATTTTTTTTAATGTTTTTGATTGGATTTTCCGATTTTTTTTTACCGGCAGTGTATCTTTAATTTCAACTCTATGATTTGACTTTAAAAGTTAAATGACAAACATTTTGTTTGCGACGTTATAGGCAAAGTTATGCAAGAACCTATTCTAGAAATATAATATTTCTCACAAGCGATTCCAGATGCAGAGCAATGAGACGATGGTACCGTACCGAAGTGCGTAACCATCGCAATGATTGAGGAGTGAACGGTCAATGAAAAAACAAGTAGTATTACTTTAAAAGGGTTTGCACTTTACTGTATTTTGTTTATTAACCATTGAAATTCGGAGTGAGCCCCCTCTCGTCTAAATATATTGTCTGCAGGTGAGAGAACGGTACTACAAACCCACCAAGCTAAGGTGATCAGCCGTGTAAGCTGTTGATGAGTTTTGATTTTAGCCTGTGGTTTCGAACAGGTAATTACTGTCTTTCACTGAAATAAATAGCTTTTAGACAATTTACAACAATATACATCTGATGAATAGCCATTTTAGTAACAGTATGTTGAAAATGAGTTAAATAGTTTGCTAGAGTTATGTTAGTTTCTTCACACCTAACTGAGTTAGGGGTTTCGACTTAGGCCTAGCCACCGGTGTCCGGAAGTACCGGCGTCGTCGTCGCCAATAGATTATTTCCTGTATACATATAGAGACACCTGTGAAGGTGTGAATAATAAGAGATCTGGTCTAAAGTGAAAGGCCATATTAAAACATTTTGTGTTTGGGTATGATATTAAAATGAATATTATTATTTTTTTTAAGTGAGTAGGAGCAGCCACCATGTTTGATGAGAATCGTAAGGTATGGGTTCCGCATCTTGACGATGGTTTCCAACTTGGCAAGATAGTGGACATTGGAACTGACAGCATTACAGTTGAACCATTCAAAACACCAAAAAAGGTAACAATTTATTTACGTGATCATCCTCCTCTTCTACATCGTACAGCTGGAGGCGAAAAAACTGTTCAGCACTAAACAGCATAATTAAATGTTCATTGAGTTTTTCGTTCAATTGTGTATTTGGCTTTTGTTTTTCTGGATCAAATCTGCCAATGTGTATGGTCACTCTACAGCCATCAAAATTTGATAGAATATTCTTCATGATGAGGCTCAAAATTAAAAAAGAAAATTCTAATTCATGTATCCTATGAAGTGTTAAATTGAATTTAAACTTCAATAAATTAAGGTTGGTTTAGCATACTGGTATCATTAGCTCAACCCGCCCTCGATAAACTAATGTTACGTTATCTCACTATATTAATTAGATTAACACATTATCAAGGATAAGTACTGAGTGTTTAACACTGGTGTCCTTGGATTCAATTATAGGTAAACGGATTAGTTACCTTTTTTATGAGGTTTTAATTGTTCTTTACCGCCGAAAGTGCGGTATTCTAACGTTAGTTTATGGAGGGCTGGTTGGCCTAATGATGTTATTTTGATTTCAGCATGTTTCTGCCCCATATGACCGAGTCTTTCCTGCTGAAGATGATGATTCAAAGACTGTACAAGACAACTGTAAGTTAGAATTTTCAAGTTTTTTAGCCTTTATGTTTGTTTTAAATATGATTGAGAATTGATAAATTGATATTTGAAAATTGCAGTAATTAGTAGACAGTCAGTAGCATAATGCATGGTATTTTAGAGATTTATTGTTGATTTTCTATCATTATTGTGGTTGCTTATAATAATTTGAAGAATGCAAATATAGTACAGAACTCTAGTTTACTTATTTTGCAAAAATCGTTATCCAATCATTCTGATATAAAACTTATCTTATTTCTATATGAACAAATGCTTTTTAGCTTTTTATCATTATCGTTATCGTTCCAAGTATAAACAGGCCCTAACCCTGTAATAATCAACCGAGTATTATTTTTAGCGCCCGACACTCACTGCCTTATATGGTGAATCCAATTCTGCCCCCTGTGAGCGCTACACAATGTGACATCGCCTGCTGATTATCGGTGGCAGTCTGAACAGATCGTCATTGAAAACAAACCGTTGCACGCACATCGTGGCGCTTCATTATCCTTAGAATCGCACCGGCCTACAACATTGACTGCCCGGCTTTAGTTTACGGTACATATATTTGTTATGCACTATTTTGACTTCATCTGATTTAATTTTTTTAATGAGAAAGCAGAAGATAACAGGCTAAAGAGTTGCAGGCAACAGGGAAATTTATATGCAGTAGATAAGTTAAAAACAAGACAGTTTGAGCTTAGCAGTTTTTGGAGGTGGCAGAATAACGATCCCAATACATACCTGTAGTAAAATTAATTTTTGTATCCATTTAATATATTTAACTGATACCCTCACACTACTCAGACCCCAACCAGTGGTGTATCTAAGAGGCTTGGAATAGGGGAGCTGATGGTGGGGGCATGTGAAGGTGGAGTGAGGGGCTCAATGATTAAGTAAGTGCATGCTAGGTTGCAAAATGTACTGATATGAGGTGATTTTCTAACTATAGTACTAGGAGCATAATTTTTTGGTTTTGAACTTTTTATGTGGGGGGAGACTGGGGTGCATGTTTTTTTGGGGGTGGGGGATGTACACTCCTAGATACGCCACTGACCCCAACTCACTCGGCATATGTGCTGTTGCATGGTCAACTTACCCTTAGCATTGACAGACTTGTGCTTCTGGATACTAATATTTGGACCAAAATGCATATATAGAATATTTTCGTGAAATTTTAAATGAAAAATTCTGATAACCAGGCAACTGCCACTGGGGGGGCTTCCAGAGGCTATACGCACTTCGCGCGTTACCAGTATTTGTGGAGCTCTATTTGACACTAGCTAGCTGCTCAGGCTAGCTTAGGCCACATTGGAAGTCCCCCAGTGAGTTGCGAGACGTTGGCAGCGCTGTTTCGAAAATAAACCCGATAAAATGGTCTATAGAGATTGACAAATGTGTGTTGATGGTCCTGGGACCAACCCAAGAACTTTGAGATTTGTCACTGCTAATTATGAGCTTTCATCTTCATTTAGTTAATATTGACTCAGTACGCATCAATCATGAATTACGTTCTAATTACACAAATTTGCAACAGGTAAACATCATTTTAAGATTAATAAGCTAGTTTATAACTGTAGAGTAATACAGGTACTTATTCAACAAAAGTATCTCTTAATCAACACTTCCTTATAAATATATGTGCTGCATTAATGGAAAAATAATGTAAATACGTCTAATTTGTAAGTTTTGTATCTGCCTCAGAATAAAATATTTATGGTGCTTTCGACCATAGGTCATCATCTGGTACTGGTTCTATTCTATTTGGATATGTTTATAAATGTGTTTTTAAATGGGATTCAACTGAATGTGTTATTTTTAAAATGTTTTTTTTTTCTCATACTAGGCCTACCAAAGTAATGATATTTATCCTTGCATTACATAAGATATGATTATAAAGAGTCACATGATACAGCTCTCCATGCTGATTGTCCAATCTGAAGGTTGTTTGCCTTTCTTTATAGAATAATTTAATGACAGTCATTAAATTTTCAGCAATTATTTTGGCTTAACACCTGTTCATCCCCATGAATAATCATGATGTGCTTAATGGATTTTTAAGTATGATTATTTTTTTATTCCTTTCGTATCTTCTTTTTGATCAGAGGCATTAGTTACATATTTTATAAATCTTGATAGATCAATTTTAAAATACAGTACTGGTAATATATACCAGTACTGTAATATCAGTATCAATTTCAGTGAGGAGATGATTATCAGACACAATACAGTATCTCCATGACGATATAAACAGGAACAGTTTATATCCAAGTACTCAATATGCTTTGGCTATAACTTATGTTGCTTTAAACATAAAAAAAAAAGTCAATATTCAAATTTTTAAAAGATGTAATTTATAATGTAGAAATAATGATATAATATTCCCTTTCTTTCTTTAACCATAAATGCTTGAATAAGCACAACAGCCCTTATAACATTTTTGGAGGCTTCAGTGCGGCGCTTATTCAAAATATTGGCGTGACGCTTTCCATGCTCGTTCCCATGTTACCTATCTCACGTATTCCCGTAGTTCAGTGGGTTTATCATAGGTCCTACAGGTACGTCATCGTAAATAACATTTATGAAGAAATGCTTGTGTCTCCATTGCTTTATTTCGTTTTAACACTGTATACATTGTATTTAAAACCCTGTTTCTCAAGAGTTTCATTACACACAGAGTAATATATACTCTTGATTAAGTGCCACTGTGCTTATTCGAGAGCAGCGCTTAGCGAAAAAAATTTGGTTTGGTGCGGTACTTATTTGAGCATTTACGGTATTCATATAAAGTATCGACAGTCAATGACTGAAATGACTTAAAATTCTACTTTTCTAGTCTTCCTTTAGAGAAAAATCAATATATGACCCTGTGAATACGCTTCTTCCTTTGTTCGTTTCTAAATGTATTCTATACATGTTGTCACTCACAATGGCTCTTTAAAGGCAAGATCTATCACTGTAACATCTCGCTGTGGCATCTTTTCTACTAGTGTACACATTCACTTTTCTTATTCTTTAGTGAGGATTAGAATTTGCAAGACCCCTACCTTGGGTTGCAGGCATTTTATTCCCTTTCTAAATTGTATTTTTTTATTTGTCCATTTTAGGATCTCATATTTTTTTGTATTTACTTCTCATTGTTTTTGGCAGTTCAGATCGGATTAGCAGGAAACCTGATTTAGAAGTGTTAATCTGGAAGAAGTAGCTTAAACATTAATGTAATATTGAAAAAAAAAATATTATGTAATAGGATACTAAATGTCAGCAAGATATTAAGAATTATAATTGTTTTTATAATAATAATAATAAGATGGATTTATATAGCACAAATAAACGAGGTCTCTGTGTGCTCGGGACTAGATGTTGCACTTTTCAATAAATTTCTCCTCCCCTGAGGGTCACTTCATGTCCTCTGCAGCCAGTAAACCGGCGCACATTTATCTGTCCACGACAGGGGTCGAGTGAACCAGTACACCGGGGTAACCCCCTACTCATCTCGAAAGATGTACTGGGTTCTTTAAAGTGCACATGAACATTTGTGTACACTGGGCCAACGGTTTATAGTCCTTATCCGAGAAGACTTGTTCCACCACCAGAACTATAGGAGCGAGCCGGCCGCGAACCCGTGCTGATATTGTTGGCTATGATCATGGTGCCCCTGCCTTAACCGCTCGGCCATTTGGCTCGCTCCAATAAAGCTGGACACTCACTGCATTGTGCGATGGTCTCTGTTAGCACTAGAAGACACGACACCATCTGCTGATTGCTGGTGGTAGTCTGAATGAATCATCATTAAACACGATCCGTTGCATGTGTGTCGTCGCACTGTGTTTTTAATAGAATCGCGTTGGCCTACGACCATCTGGGTGGAGCGAGTGCTCGGCTCTAGACCAGCTACCCAGGTTTAATGGACCAGCTAGACGTCCATTTAGAAATTAAGAACCAATGTATTTTGGAAGTGCATTACTGTAGGACTAACTGTACCATTATTAAATATACTGTGTTCCATTGCTATATTAATGTTGTAAACCCATAAGCATTAATGATGCAAATGTTATTTACCATGACAACTATCATCGATCAAAGTCCCTTATTCTGTATAATAAACAGTTAATCGATCATACACATATTTTCCACTGTTCCCTAATAGAAAAAGTGTTGTTTGTTAATATATTTCTTATATTTATTGGTGATAAATGACAATATTTATGAATGATTTGATTTAATGTAAATCTGTTGAAATCTATAATGTCCAAAAGACGGATCAATATGGCACCTGGGATATCATATACCGAATTGTTAACTAATATTGATTGTGCAACTGCAGTTACATCTATACACTAGACTAAAAGGTTGTATCTTTTTTGCAGGTGCAAAGCTATGCTTACTGCCTCTGTCTCTATACATGATTCAGATATTTTGAAAATCACACAATTTAATTGCAATATTTTATTTTGTGCATATCTTAACTATTTCAGACCACATACTAATATAACCTACACAGAAACACAATATGTTGCCCAATATTTTATTCTAGAAAAAAACAACACTCATAAAAATTTACTTAACAATTGTACCTCATATTTTGATCATTTTTAAAAGACAATACTTGTTTTATTTAAAAAGTGAGAAATTATAATAAGATTCATTAAGATAAAAAATTTTATATTAAAAAATTTATTTTTTTTAAATGAATATCTAATTAGCAGGAATGGATTAGTTTAATGTTTCCAGGAATGCTATTGTTTGTGATGTAAATTGATTAGCGTATTGTTTTTGAAAGAGATACAATTTCATACCCTTACAGTTTAAAAATATCGGAGTGCAGCTTGTATGAGTGCAGCTTGTATGTGTGCGAGAGCACAATGCTAGAATACCGGCATATGCAATTTTAATTTATCATCAATTTTGGTCTGTTTGTTTTAAAGATAAGGTTTATTCAATTTAATGTTAAAGTGAAGTGGGTTGTCCCAAGTAGTAAGAGCAAAGTTCAT